ACACCTCACCTTTATAGTGGAAAAAAATAGACTATAATCCTTCCGGCATCACAGGAATAGAAAGCACAGAGGCTAAATCAAGCATTAGAAACTGTCCTTCATGATGCATAAAATTCTTTTAAAGGAAATAGACCTCAAGCCACAGTGAAGATTTTCCTGACACAAGAGTCAGCCTCTTTGCAGAGTGGTTTTTTTTGAGAGTTATTGGTACTGAGCAGTAGAAGACTCACACACCACTGTCCTTTACTTTTATGTCACTTTGTGGCACCCCTCATTTTCAGTCTCCAGGTGCTTTTTGCCCATACCAACCCTTTGGTGCAGTGAGCCCTTCTGCCCGCCACTCCTCAAGCATCTTTCCATCCAAACGACAAGTTAGAGACAAATAAGAGAGACATTTCTGGGTTGTTTTTTTTTCCCTTCCTTCCCCTTCCCCAAAGCATGGAGAACTGCAGTGGTTCTGGCTTTGGTTTCTTTCACAGATAGACACAAAATTTATTGCATGCTACTGCCTGAATAAGAGGGATGAGGAAATTTAGGCACAGCGCTAGGATGACATTTTTCTGTGTATTGCTCCACTCTATTTCCTTTGATTTAATCAGTGAAAAATGCTGTGTTTTACATGGCTTCCTTTTAAAACTTAATCTAACCCAAGTTCACATTAAACTGGTCCAAAATTAACTTCAAAGTTTTGTGAATTCTGTCCAACTTTGTTCTGGCTAATTTAAGCTGGAAGCAAGCAATGCAATTCAATACCAAGAGATTTTTGTGCGAGATGTAGTTCAAAGGGGAATTTCGCACTTTCCAGGGCTCTGTGGGTCTACTGTTAAGATATAATAGTGCATGTCCCCACTGTCTTGGGGCAAGAACTCCTCACAAATCCCATTCCTCTCTGTGACAGCCCCCCTTGGACTTAACCAGAAAAGGCTGTTTCAAATCTATGTGAAAACTTTATTAGTTCCTCTTTAAGCAATAGACATTAAATGTGCGACACAAAAATTGCCCATCATGTTACTACCAGAAAGTTTACTAATTAATATTAAGTAAATATATATTAATATTATTAACAACAATGAAAATTTATTTTTCATCTCTGTAAGCATTAACTAGTGACTTTCTGTGTTTATACTTCTTGTATATGGTTGTCACAGATCTTCTTCAGCCAAAGAGCTGAAGGCTTCATCGTACAACCATATAGCCACTGACTTATGTTTCTGAAACAATAGGTTAATAAAGGTTTTTCTCTCCTTGTTCTCAAAGGCTGGGCCCACTGATCCACATATAAACAACTCTTTTGCCAAATTTGTGAAAGCGCAAAGCGCTCCCCTTGGCACAAGCATAACGTAAAATTGGAAAGCACAAGGTCTTTGCCTACCAAACCGGAGGGAGCTGCTCGTGGGTTCACTGTCTACAGACTCCCCACAGATTCTTCTCTGCTGTAACTTCAGTTTACTGGTTGCCACCAAAAACATCCTCACAATATTATTTCTCACCTAACTGGCATTTCCAGAGTATTTGAAAGGTCTATGGAGCTATTAACTACCTGAAAAAAAAACAATTAGAAGTGTGATAGTTCTGAGTACTCGATGATCTAGTATTGAAGAGGATCCTGTAGAAACACAAGCATGTTGGATTAAAATATTTTCCTACTTGCTTCTTCAGAAACCAGGAGAACAAATTCTCCTTTAACTAACAGAATTGCACAGATAGAACTGAAGGAGGAATCTGGCCTGCGTTGCCTCATACACTTTTCCTTTTCTTATGGCTGTATCACTAGTCCAGTTAAACCTTTGTTTAATGGCTGATGTGTATCTCTAGTTGATTTAGCATCATTTTTAGTTTTCAATAATATGCAGATGTCTAACCCCAAGAGCCGTTATGCATATAAACATTTTTAGCTCCCAGTTTGATATATGTATTTTGGCTGGTTAATTTTCAAAATATCTATTTGTACTTGTGCCAAACAGTCTGCCATTTCAATACAAGCCTCCAGTTTATGCACCAGCACTTTATAAATCTCTAAATAAAATCTTCCATGTTTATTTTTCTTAGAGAGAAAATCCCATTTAATAAGTGTGGGCCTCTTTTCTTTATATGTATTTTACTGTTGAGAGGCAAACTATTCTTTTCTAAGTCATATTTGTGTTTAGGGGTTTTTTTATTATGGGAAGAGAGGAAATATAAATATTACTAAAAATTCATGGTATTTTACTGTGGGCATTATCTACACATAACCTAAAGCTCATAACCATCATTATGTTGTCTGCTGGTACTGGAGAAAGCCTAGTACTATGATGCTAGGAAGGGGAGAAAAAAGACTTTTCTGGTGTTGCAACCAATACTTTGTCTGCAGCCTGATCTCCTGAAGGACACCTACTCTGTTTCTGACGGTGTTTGGTGTGCCTTCCACTATGTGTGTTTCTTCAGATGTTTAGTTTCTTGAAGTAAATTGTGGAGGATGCCCTTAAAGGCTGTCAGCAGGGATTTTATAATTTATATTTATAAATTTTTAGCTCTCAGTTTGATATATGTATTTTGGCTGATTAATTTTCAAAATATCTATTTGCACTTGTGCCAAATATAAATTTATATTTATAATTTACTCCCCCCCACTAGAGGACTGGGGTACCCACCTTCTGATCCAGGAAGGGGAACATAAAGCCAGGGTAGGAAGGGGAAAAAAATGACATTGGCAGCAGCATCCCTGCTCATCCGGCAGCCAGGCATCAACTTAGCATTCAGTCAGTGCTCCACAAAGTTGGGATGTGAGATCTACGATAGCATTTATCCTAATTTTTCAGACCCTATCCCTCTCCTGAATACTCCAGTAATCACAGAGCACAATGAGTTCTTCACTGGTTATTGCATTCACCCTGGTCCTCGCTGGTGGCACTGTGGGATATAGTCCTGATGCTGTGGGAAGTACGCGATACTTCCAGAGTTAGCTTAGAGCCTTCTCCTTCATTTCTAGCACATGTACATGGCTGCATGGTGGCTCCCAGAGGGCTGCCATGCTGCCATTGAAGCAGTTATGATTTTATCCTGGGCAACCTGGTTTTAAACTATTTAATCCAAGCCATGTTAACAGCATAGCAAGAGCAAGCCGAGAGGCTCTTTATGTTCAAATATTTATGCTTCCTGGGTGAGTCTGGCAAGAAGTGCTGCCAAGAGTACTGTTATCAGTGTCCTATGCTGGCTAATTTAAAATTAACTTGGGCACTGCCTACATGAGTTGCAGCAACATATTTGACTGCAAAGGTCCTGCCCCTCCAGGCAGGATACAGAGCTCAGTGTGAAGGTGGAGATGAGATTAATCATTTTCGTGCCCTTCAAAACCTGAACTACTTCACCAGCTGGAGACCAACAGTGTAATTTAGGCAGCTCTGTAGCAGTGCTAGGGAGAGCACCTTCACGCAAGGAGGATGCGAAAGAGGAGCCTGACAGACATTTTGCACAGTACCTGTGCTGGGGGTGCTGCTGGCAGATGTGACAAAGGTGCACAGAGGTTGGTGTTTCGCTCGTGCTCACAAGGGCCTCAGAGAGCTATGGTTCTTTGAGTAAAATTGGGAACATCCTTCCCATGATTTTATACACAGGACAATAGTTTTCAGGAATATACATTTATCAGAAACATTTATTTTCAAAACAAGGCCAAACACTGAAGAAGTAAGAGAGGAAAATAAAAGACTGTGTGAGTTTTCTCATTTTGTCTACAGAGTTTTATCTGGGTGTTACTCCAGAGTTGGACCCCGACATTTTTGCTTGCTGGTTTCCTTTTGAAATCTGTTGACAAGGGCATACAGTGATAGGATGGGGGGTAATGGTTTTAAACTGAAAGAGAGTAGATTTAGATTAGATGTTAGGAAGAAATTCTTCAATGTGAGGGTGGTGAGACCCTGGAACAGGTTGCCCAGAGAAGCTGTGGATGCCCCTGGCTCCCTGGAAGTGTTCAAGGCCAGGCTGGATGGGGCTTTGGGCAACGTGGTCTAGTGGAGGGTGTCCCTGCCCATGGCAGGGGGGTTGGAACTAGATGGTCTTTGAGGTCCCTCCCAACTGAAATCAGTTTTCTCTTCTTCTCTTCTCTATTCTATTCTATTCTATTCTATTCTATTCTATTCTGTTCTGTTCTATTCCATTCCATTCCATTCCATTCCATTCCATTCCATTCCATTCCATTCTAGAAAAACATTCGATTAGCATAGAAAGTTCAAGCGCAAGCATGAAAAAATATCAAGCACCTCAGAGTGTATTTATTTATGGGATTGCTCTAGATGAAAACATACTATTGTAAAAATAATTCACTATTTTCCAGTGCCCTTCTCATTATGTACACAGCCATATCAGGCAAAATGAAAACTTAATCTGTTTTCAGGAGAAAGTAAGTGCAGTTCCCTGCCACAAAAATGATCTGGCATGTAGGAAATCAAGGTTCCTGCTCCTTGATTATTTAAACAGAGCAAAGCCTGCTTGGTTTCTGAATCTTTCATGTAAGCACTTTAAATGTGACTCCCTGCTCTGCCAAACCACGTTTTGTGTTTCAGTAGTGCTCTCCACTCATCCTGCTGCTTAAACAGCAAATAATTTCACTTAGTCGAGCCTATTTCAGGAGCAGGAGAAAAGAAAGAAAGAAAGAAAGAAAGAAAGAAAGAAAGAAAGAAAGAAAGAAAGAAAGAAAGAAAGAAAGAAAGAAAGAAAGAAAGAAAGAAAGAAAGAAAGAAAGAAAGAAAGTTAGTTTTTCCAGTGGTCGCTCAGTGGCATGCAGGATTATCTCAGGTTTCTAGTTTCCTAGGAACGTAGTAACTTCCTCATGGGTTGTTTTGTGGGCGGTGTTTTTGAATATATGCTAATTCAGCTTTCCTGACAGGGAGAGGAGCCGTGTCTCAGTTACACAGCTCTCCTGACAGCAAACGGTGGCAAGAGGCTGCTCCAGAGCCAGGCCATGCGCTCTCGCTCGTGACAGGACCACTCGCCCTCCCATCGGGGCCCATCGGCACTCCCCCGGTCATCTTTGTCACCAGCAGCGGGGCCGACATGTGCCTATGACCATGGAGATGAAGGACTCAGGCAGTGTGGTCCTGACAGCTTACCATCCCCACAGCCCGGCCAGGATCCCGGGCATGGAGCAGAGCTTTGTGCAGGACATCCCCCCCAGCCATTCGCCTACCAGCAGGTAAAGCCTGAGGGATGGGGACCGGTACCATGCTCTGACATGTCACTGGGGTTGTTTGTGTTTTTTTTCTGACTGTATGTCAGTCTGAGAGTGTTTCCCGATTGCTTGGCCACTTTGTGAGCACTTTGCTCTCGCACATTTCTTGCTTCCACCGGGGAAGTGATTCAGCCCAGTGCCGCTGGTCAGGACTGGGAGGGGGAAACGCGAGTGCTTGTTTTAAATCTTGTAAGTCAACAGATCAGGCCAGTTTCCTGCCCAAGATACTCAACAAGACAACCCCAAGGAAAAAAAGCACATGAATCAGGCTTCTGCTCAGGTCATTTTACGGAAAGGGAGAAGGCTGGAGTGACCGAGTCTGGCGCTCAGAAAGTTGATTCTGGCTTTCATTTAGAGGATTATTTAATTCCTTCCCCATTCACCCACCAGCTCAGAAACAGCCCTTGCCTTTTTGTGAAGTTGCAGTTGCTGCTTTGCACACCCTCTTACAAACAATGGGAGATTGCATCGTTAGAGGCTTAGTATAAATAAGAAAATTCCTTTGGATTGCAGGAAACTAAGTATTGTCTTAATTAGTGCAGTCGTGTGTATGTATACTTCCCTGCCCTGTGAGAATGCATGTGTTTGCACAGTTCAAAAATAGCAGTTTGGGCAATTTTATTGTTTTAGAAAAAAATGACCTTTCTCCTAAACATACGTGTCTGGGTTTTGCAATTTTCTCCAAAAGAAGTGGTATGAAAGTTCATACTGTAAAAAGTTGAAGAAAGTAGGAAATGTTATTCTGTGGCTTGACTGAAAATAATGAGAGCTACAGTCTGAGGAAACTGTAGATGTCTTTATTCCCAGGAATTAAGTCCGTGTCTTCTCTTAATAAAAATAATTATATTTACTTCATATTGTTTATTTATAACCTGATAGCTATTTTGTTTTCAATGTCATTATTTAGGTTAGCTGTATCTTCCTGTTCTTTGTGTATTTCCCTGACTGTCTCATAAAGATAACCCCTTTGTTCTCTTAAACTGTTGTTTGAGAGCAGTACCACAATACACAATTTCATGTTAAGAAAAGAAACACAGTCTGGGCTTTAAGATGCAGTAAGAATGTAATTTGTTACTTAAAACAGAGAGAAGTGGTTTGGCATTGGGTTAGTGGGGAGCATGTCATTTCTTCCCCAAGGAAGAATGCTAAACTGAAATCTCCCTTTGAGTCTGTGAGCAACGGAAATGTGGTGTTTTGCTATTTTTCTTGTAGGTGTGCTAATTGCTTTAAAATGCCCTTGAAACTTAAGCTCATGGTGTATGAGGGTTTAAATCACATACGTATCACCTAAGAAAAGCAGAAGTGCGAATTGCTGTTACTGAAAGAAAAAAAGAAAAGAGGATGCTAACATTTTGATGAGGAATGTATTTTGGAAGCTCCAGCCATGAGGCAAAGCCATGTGTCTCTCTATATGTCTGTGTATCCATAAGATTTTGGTGCCCTCTCCCCTTTCTTGTCCTCAACTTCCTGCAGCTGTCTAATAGCAATAGCCAAATTCTGCCATATGGGCAGTCGGTGACTGTCTGAGTTTCCAAAGCCTGTTCAAGAGAGGGATTTTATTAACCCAGCATGCAGTCCTCTGGAATGCAGAATCCATGAAGGCAAATGCACTGAGCATTTTAGCAAATGGTAAAATAGGCTCTAGCTTAATCCCTACTTCATCTTCTAAGAACTCTTTCCTGGTCTGCATTTTCTGTATGGTTTCCTCTGCCGCCATACTAATGCAAGAAGCTTTACTATCGACTCTGTCTGGTGTTCCTTGATCCCTGAGGCAGCCACCCACACTACAGCATGCTAATTCCTTGACTCTCCAGGAGAGTGATTTGAAAAAACTTGCAACGAACAGATGTGTTGTCTACTTTTTGTTTGATAACAAAAGCAGTTGGGACCCAGGGCCTAACTTCCCTCTGCATTTGGTCGGGTTTAGTTAGATATAGCTCTAATGAAGTCCATACTTCATATATTTATCTGTGAGAACAGAATCAGTCTTGGATATTAGCCCTCAATTTGATAAACTGCTGACCAGTTCTGTTTCAGCTTAGGAATCAAGATCTTTCATTTTCCTTCCTCTCCCCAAAACTTTTCTTTTGCTTTGGAGTGATGCTCCCTTTATATCAACAGAACAGCTCCACTCACCAGAGCCAGATTTGGATGTGACTGTCTCCCAGCTATGTTTTCTCTTGCAAACACTTTCACTTTGGGAACCTTCTAAGCAGAGGTTTCTCGCAGAAAGGGGAAGCTAATGCAGCCTCAGTCAGCACTAAACTGCTCTGCTTCCCACTATTTAAATAAGATGCTGATAAAAGAGAAGGAAAGGTTTAAGTAACCATCATGAACCTCTAAACAAATGAGCAATCTTAAACACCTTTGCCAATCCAACTACACAGCTGAGAAGCCCATGGACACCAAAGTTTACGCTAATCACCCATCTACAACTCTTGAAGGGCCAATCAGGCAAACATCCTGGGCGCATGTCTAAAACATTCACCAGCAGCATTAGCATCAGCATGAAGTATAGCAGCCACAGGTATTTCAGTTCGTAAGCCCAGTGGGAGAAGAGCCTACATACCCCACTATATCATAGGGGGTATTAGCTGGTGGGCTGTAAGGGGGACAGGAGATGTGCCTTAGCTGCTTCAAAATGTAGCTGCATCAGTGTGCAATGACGGATGGTAAATTCATAGGTGTAATGAAAAGGAGAGCAGGTTGAAAGTTTGACTACATAGTGATGCTGTCACCAATCTGCAGTGGAGAATTCTCTCGTCCAAATTTACTGTTGGTTTACGTTAATAAAAAGGTTAAGGAGAGGGACCACAAAGTCCAGCCATTCTCCAGAACAACAGACCACCAGGGGCTAAAGATAGCAATACTTAAATATCTCCTCCTCAGCTATCTATAGAATTAATTTCTATCTTTCTCCTTTTGTTCCATCTTGCAGACTTACTTACTTTACCAGTTCCACTGGTAAACTGCACTGTTGAGTTTGCTAGAGGTCCAGGAAAATTCTTCAGCCAAATCTTCCTTTAATTCAGTTAATGCAACTAGCAAGTTCATTTTCCATTTTTCTCATGGGGCATTCAGGTCCCTTCACTTCATTTGTCACCTGCTTTGCACGATGGCAATTGTTGATAGCATTTATATTATTCACATCTTTTCTTAGTTTTTTGTTTTTGAGAACAAAGTGTTGAAGAGAGCTCTGTTTTCTTTGCTTGGCAGTTAGACTAACTCTACGGCATAAGAGTATAGTGGGGAAGGTTCCTGTACCTGTGGCATCCCCCTCACTTTTTTTTAATCCCATTGATTAGAACTCAAATGTCATAAGTACCAGTACCAAACACCCCAGAATATCATACTATCCCTTTCAACACAAATACTGTCTCAGTGCAAAGGCAAAAGTGCTGATTTATGTTAAGTAATGGTCAACTTTTCCATCCTCACTTCAGAGAACGAAGGACTTTGTAGTTGTGCACAAATACCACTTCTGGATTATACAGAGGAAAAGTGGGGGCATAGCCACATGTCTTCCTCACACCTCCTTTTTATCCTGCTAGGAGAAGCTACGAGGAGTTATTCCTGTGCTCAGAGGAAACGGGCATGACCTCTATGCCAAATGGCCAGTGAGCTCTCTAAGGTAATTATGCAATTAGGGGAGTACAAAGCATTCCTAAGTGAGTCACGCTCAAGCTTTCCTTGACTCAACTAGGAGAGTTAGTGAGTTCCTCAGCCCATTTGTTACTAGTACATCTACCAGCAAAGAACTCATCCTGCGCTGCAAATCACAGATATTTCCACTGCAATAAGTGGCTTACGCTTAAATGTGCATGAGATAAGAATCAGAGGAAAGAAAAAGCATGTTCGCATGCTTTGATCCTGCAGAATGGGTTTAGAGCGGCTTTTAAAGGGCACATCATGGGATTTATACATGAAATAAACATCTCTATAATCAATACTGTTACAAAGACCTGCATATATACTACCAAAGCTAGGAGCATGCTGCATAGGTAAAGGACAAAGTGGATTTCAGCACCACTGAACAAGGCAGCCAAGACCCCTTCTCTGCTTCTCCCCTAGCCAAGGGTGAGTCTGGCACTTCCAGTTGTTTCGGGGAAATGCCTTTCCAACCTCTTCATGTTCAGGATGTCTCCCCCCTCCTGCTGTCAGGGAGTGACTTTCAGACAGGCATCATTAAACTACAGAGTCAAAAAAGAACAGGAAAAAATTGCGAAGTTTCTGTATTGCCTTGAATTACCTGCTGATAGCTTCCAGGATCCCTGCTCTCCAAGTCTAACACTTGCAGATTTGGGGCCAGTAGTAAAGTCATTACACTGGACAAGCATCGCACCAGATCCTTTTGCAATATTCATCCCCTCTTGCAAGCCCCAAGACACTATAGAGATATGTCGTGGTGAGATAAAGTGTCCTGAAATAATGACCGAAATAAAACTGGAAGAGGAGCCCTTATGCACCAAAAATTTGGCTTGTTTTTATCCCAACAGAAGCAGATTTTATCACACCAAAGTAAGGTCTGTATGCCCTGAGGCTGGGCGATCTGGATTTAATTTCTGTCAGTGCTGATTGAGCAGCTCCCCTGTTCAGTTGTATACAAGTGATGTCAAGAATGTCTTCTAAGTGATGCAGGATAAACAACCTTAACTATTTTGGATGTTTATCTCACTCTACCATAAACTTCCCGAGAAGACAAAAATAAAAAGCTGGCTCCTTTTCCACAGTAAATCTTGAAATGACTTGGGCCTCTTGCAGTAACTTGGACTCAAAACCTATGAAATTAAAATTTTAAAATGTACTAAAAGCAGTAAAAGAAAATCCCACAAAACAATAGTCTAAGAAAAGACTACTGAGACAAGTTGGGCAAAAAATATGTTTTGTGGAAAAACACTTTTTATAAATTCTAGTAGCTTTCTAAAATAGGATTTTTAAATGCATATTTTTATAGATGCTAAGAA